GCTGTCTAGAATTGGGAAGAAAAGTCCTCAAAGTCTATCACTCACAATACATGAAGTTTTGTTTATAATGATGCAAACACAGGAAGTGATGACAGATTGGCATTATCTCCTACATCATCTGCATTATCTCCATCTAGGAGAGTGCTAAGTATTGAAGACTCTGAAGTTCAATCCAAGTCACTCATTTCAGAGGAATCTGCAAGCATGTTAAATTTGGATGGGGATGTCAATCAAGCATATGATCACACACCATTACAGTGGAGGAATCTGAGTGATGTGTTGGCTCAATACAACATGTGTGTCATGGATCAAGAGAAATATGAGGATGCCAAACAAGATGAGTCTTGGTTAAAGGCTATGGAGGATGAATTATTCATGATTGAGAAGAATGGCACCTGAAAGCTTGTTGACAGACCAACTGGAAAACCTATTATAAGGGTTAAATTGGTCTACAAAACAAAGTTAAATCTTGATGGCTCGGTGTTGAAGAACAAAGCAAGGCTAGTTGCAAAGGGGTATGCATAGAAGCCTAGTCTAGACTACAATGAGACCTATGCACCAGTTGCTAAATTAAACGCTATCAGAACTTTGATAGCCTTAGTTGCACAAAGGAGTTGGAAGTTGTATTAGTTAGATGTGAAATCGGCTTTCTTGAATGGAGTATTGCAAGAAGAGGTTTATGTTGAGCAACCTGAAGGCTTTATGGTAAAAGGCAAAGAGGACAAAGTGTACAAGCTGCATAAGGCTCTCTATGGTCTAAAACAAGCTCCAAGAGCTTGGTATGGAGAAATTGACAATCATTTCGCACAGTGTGATTTCAAGAAAAGCTTGAGTGAACCAACTCTATATATAAAGACAAGGGGATAAGATGTTTTGATTGTTTCCATCTATGTAGATGATATAGTCTACACTGGTAGTAGCAAGTCAATGCTAGAAGAGTTCAAGGAAGATATGAAAATGAAGTATGAAATGACAGATCTGGGACTTCTTCATCATTTTCTTGGGATGGGAGTGATTCAAACAGATTCTAGCATCTTCATTCATCAGAAGAAATATGCAAGTTCTTTACTGAGCAAGTTTGGATTAAATGAAGCAAAGACTGTTTCAACCCCTCTTGTAGCTACTGAGAAATTGTCTAAAGATGATGGAAGTGGATCTACAAATGAGGAGATGTATAAGAGTATTGTGGGAAGTCTCTTATATCTTACTGATACAAGGCCGGATATAATGTATGCAGCAAGTTTATTGGCAAGATTTATGCATTGTCCTACTAATAGGCACTATGGAACTGCAAAGAGGGTGCTCAAGTACATCAATGGGACTTTGGATTATGGCATGGAGTATGTAAAAGGAAGAAAAGCATGTTTAATTGGTTTTTGTGACAGTAATTGGGGTGGTTCATTGGAGGACAGCAAAAGCACATCAGGATATGCATTCTCATTTGGTAGTGGCGTATTTTCTTGGGCTTCTGTCAAACAAAACTGTGTTGCACTCTCAACTGCAGAGGCTGAATATGTAAGTGCATCAGAAGCCACGGCTCAAGCAATATGGCTGAGGTTTGTTTTGGAAGATTTTGGAGAATTACAAACTGAAGCTACTCCTCTTCACTGTGATAATACTTCTGCTATTGCAATTACTAAGAATTATGTATTTCATCAGAAGACTAAACACATTGACAGGAGGTATCATTTTATCAAAGATGCACTGCAGGAAGGCATCATTGATCTGATCTATCGTCCCACAGAAAAGCAATTGGCAGATATCTTTACAAAGTCTCTCGCCAAGGATTGGTTTAATTTTCTCAAAAGCAAGCTTGGAGTGAAATCAGCTTTAGACTTAAAGGGGAATGTTGAATTATAAGTCTATAGCTGTTATTGAAATAAGTTGTGATATTAAAATGTGTATGCACTTATGATAAAATTCTAAGTGAGAAGATATGTAGTTGTAAGGCAAATAATGCCAGGTGTCATGATCCTAGCATATAGCTAGATGAAGGGTTGAGATTGCTTTGTAATGAATGTGAATCCACCTTGGATTCCAACTGAATGTAAGCACCGAGTGTGTGCAATTTTAAGACAGTGATATGAAGAAACAAAAAATGCTCTGTTAGTAGTTTTTCTGCAGAGAGTTTCACCTTTTCGACTTCTCTCGTTTTCTTCCATTGTTCTTCTTTCTTCTTCATAAAATCCAGTAAAGAGACAAGAAACACAATAGAAACATCTAGATATTTCTGCTTGGAATTTTGGTCTCACATTTGAAGCTCCAATTGGGGTGGGTGTAGTGTGAGTTGGGTGCAAAATTACCTGGTAATATAGATTGGGTTGTGAGGTAGTTTTGAAATATGGTTAGGTGTACTTATAATTACATTTTATTATAAAAAGTTGGTTCAAATATCAAATTGGGTGAACTTAACTAAAAACTAAGTGCCAATAAAGCTGTCTTTTAGCAAATTAATGTCCTATTTTCATGTGAGACTATGCGGAATTTTTGGTAGAAATTA